GTTGTAGCCCATCAAACCTTGTCATGTTCACCAAATGCTTCCGCAAATGCCTCCAAAATGGTTTCAAAGTTGTTTAGTATGGACGATCATTTCTCAAACAAAGGTGCAAACCATGATAGAGCTGTAAAATTGTTATCAACCTGATTTGATTGACGAATCCTCAAAACTTAGAATGCGTACCATCGAACTTGTCTGGAAGGCTAACTCAGGGCTCTTTATGTTGTAGAACCAGCGGTGCTTGTCAAACCTGAGGCAAAGTTGCTTCTCCAAGTGCAGAAGTTTGAGGCTGGTGCAACCTAGATTGTGCCATCCCAAATGCTCCATCATTATGAAGCCTTGCCACGACTCCTTCAATCTCTGCAGTTCTTTGCGATAACGTAGCGAAGGCATTCATGATAGCATCCAACTTGGACTCCAAACTTTCCGTCATACTAATGTCTTGGCCTCCGGCCATTCTAAGAGAAGGACAGAAATGACTCTACAAGAAGACAATATTGGTTTAGAGGAAGGTACTCCGCAACCTCTAAAATGCCTTAAGAGCTTCAAAAAAAGAGGTGATCCTTTCTCTCGAAGAAGAATAAGACTCCAATATTATAACAAAAGAAGTATCAGTTTAGAGGAGGATAATCCGCAACCTTTAAAGTGCTAGTACACTTCCAAGAAGAGGGATAATCCACACTCTAACAAAGAAGAAACTAGCTCTGATATCTGAGGTGAGTGAGGTCTCGACAAACTGTCATGGACACAGAAATACAGACTCAAGATCTAAGAAGAAGTTCAATAAGAATTGGCAAGAATTAGATTAATCAGATGAATACAAGAACAACACCAGAGAGGTGAGCTAGAGCTCCAAGAGATGTGTTGTCAAGACTGAAGAACTCTTCAGCCTCGATTCCAATATATACTCCTATTTAGGAAGCTTCTCAAGCAATTTCTATCAACTAGGAAGCTTCTAGAAGGTTCAAGAGACTTGCTTCTAGAAGGTTCTAGAAACTTATCTCTAGAAGGTTCTAAGGACTATGTCCCTAACATCTTCTATTAACTAAGAAGCTTCTAGAAGGTTCCAAAGACTTGCTTCTAGAAGGTTCTAGAAACTTGTCTCTAGAAGGTTCTAAGGACTATGTCCCTAACAATAATTCAAATTCTATCAAATTGATTTTTAATTTGTTGTAAGTATGTGTTTAGAACCAAAAAGGATACAATAGATAATATTCTAAGATATAAGAATAGAGTAATTACCAAATACTACTCAGAAGTTGCTCGTGTTGATTTCAATGAAATATTTGCTCTTATGGCCAAATTTAATACCATTAGAATTATTGTGGTAATTAGAATAGCAATGGAATTGGAGATGCATCAAATGGATGTGAAGATGGCTATCTTAAATAAAAGATTAAAAGAAGTCATTTATACGAATCAACCTCAAGGATTTGTTGAAGAAGGCAAATAACACCTTGTTTATAAGTTTAAAAAATCTTTATATGGACTCAAGCAATTACCATGGGCCTGATATCAATGTATTAACACATTCTTCTTGAATGAAGGATTTGAAAGAAATAACGCTAGATCAATCTATTGAGCAACCATCAAAAGAATCATCAAAAGGTCAAAAATAGAATATATTTTTTTTTATTGGAATAGAAGGTATTTTATAGAATTATAAGAGATAATCAACAATTACAAGTCATGGTATTACAAATTATAAATAGAAGCAACTTCAATGGAATGTGACAATCAAAGATGTCTAGCATTTATAAAGAATTTAAAGTATTATTCAAGGATCAAGTACATAGATATTCAACATTATTTCATAAGAGAATAGATTGAAATAGGAGTGATTGATATGAAGTATTATGCAAGGGAAGACATGCTTGTTAATTTGTTGATGAAAGCATTAGTAAAGAATAGACATCATATGTTGATTAAGGCATTAATATTGAAAGTCTTTTACTAATAACAAAGTAGAAATATAAAAGTAAGTAAATAAAAGTAAAAATAGAATAAGTTATATTGTATAAGATATTATTTTAGGTAAGTTTTTAGTAGTCAAAGAATTGACCCTTGGTATATAAAATGGCCAAGAAATAAGGTAGATGAATAGACAAAAGATCTAATGGATATTGAGAATATTTAAAAAGCATATTTTTATAGAAGATAAGATAGCTATGGATAGTCTCAATAGAATGTTGAATAGATATATTCATTAAAAGATGGATGTTGTCTATTAAGGCAATATCTACTACCTATAAGTAATGGGTGTTGGAAGTAAGAGACATCTTATTCCATATTCTTTTTATGAACAACCTTGTTGATACTATGTATTGGTGACTTTAAAATTCTCTTTCTTTAATAAATATCTCAAAAAGAAGATAAGTGCCACTATAAGTCTTTTATTTAAATGCCACTATAAGTCTTTTATATGTTCAAAAATATTCATACCAATTCAACCTACAAATTGTGAGAAAACGCTTGAAAACTACATTGGTATTACTTAGCAGCCAACTTGAAAGTTGATACAAATGTTCCATGAGTGATTTCTCCTTTTCCAATTATTAACTTCAATTCAAAATTTGTGAGTAGCTTATTCTTCAAGTCTTCTAATACCATGTCAAATTTTCCTTTGATCCAATTTATAAATCTTCATATATTATAGAAACGCTATCCAATTTTAAACTACCAACTTCCAATACCTTCTTGTATCAAAACCCAAATATCTCCCAACTACATTTTTAGATTATCACAAAATTTTACATAAACTTAGCACATCTAATTAACCAAGCACTATTAAATTTTGAACTGTAGATGTGATACCAATTTTATGAACTATCCAAGAGTGTTAGCCTTAATTGTATTACATAAATTCCAAGTCACTAATATAAACCTTGACTTTGAACAACAATTGCAAATTCAAACCAAATTCTACAAAAAAAAAACCTTATGTTTCTAGAATAAGCTCCAAAGTAGCTCTCCAATCCTAATTATTGATCTTTGAATGCCCTCCTATTTTGTCCTAGGTGGTCATTATTTTGGCTGGAGGTTTGATTTTGACCTTGTTTCACAAACGACCAACTTTTGGATATCAATCTAACTTATCTTAGGAATTTTTTAGCCCAATCCTACCTTCAACTTAAAAGAATAAAAGAGTCTCTATAGCATAGAAGGTAAAATTACTAACCAACCTTTAACCTAGTAACTATTAAGACAAAAAAAATAAACTAAGAGGCTTTTATAAAATCCATATTTAAATATCTTAAATTATTATTGAACCAAGATAATTAGATATTAATTTAAATTTTATTTTTGAGTATATTTTCACTATATAATCGTATTACAATATGACATCACTCCTTATGAAACTTGTTCCCAGAAGAAAAGATAATATCATGGACATACATATTTATTTTAGTAGTTATTTATATAATTAAGTAGAAATAGATAAATATAAATTAATTTCATAATATCTTTTAGAATAGCTTTCTAAAAGTTTCATAGATATGATTTTGACTTTATATGTGTTTGTAGTTGATTGATAGATTAAAAACTTAGTCAATAAGTTAATCACATATCACACGTGTTAATAGCTTATCGAACAAGTTAATTATGTGGTGCATATATAAACAACTTGTCTTATAAGTTAAGTCATGTATTTAGCAAATTCAACACATATTGGAGGTCCTATAGAATATCACCACGTAGATCCTAGTTAGAGAGTATATATATAGAGGCAAGAGTGAAACCTTCTTTACTCTTGTCAATGCCTTTTTAATCCTTAGTCTTGTTTCAAGACTTTCTAGCCTTCTTGTCTTTGATAATAGCCATTTTAGTTCAATATATTACCATCTTTAGGTTTTTTTAATTTTTTCAAGTAACATAAGAATGTACTGAAGATTTCTTTCTTTGAGATTCATGTCCTTTATAGATACTTCTAATCACATTGTTAAATACTTTTATCCACATTGCCAAATATTTCCAACTAATAGTCCATAATGATCATAAACTATTAAATGTTAGTAGATTGGATCCAATGATTTTAAATTTATTCCCAACAATAATTCAATTTGGATTTTGATTGTAAAATTCCAACCACACCCAACACAAACTTGCTCAAGGTTCACCTTTTAGTGTAAAAAATGTATATAATAAAATGCTTCCATCCACGGCTATGGAATAAGACCTCTTTCTCCACCCTAGAACACTGAGCTCCCATCTCTGGGTCACCTCAACCCACCGCCAGATATCGTTATTGAACAATTACATGCGGTGCTTGCCTTCACGTTATTATTTATCTCTACATGGAATATGCCATTTATTAACGGAAGTTGATTTGGGGCTGCAAAGCGCTGTTAATGGGTGGTGGACGGTAGTTTATATTGTGGGTTATTCACGTGGTGTTGGATGGTTGATGATTTTGTTTTTAGATACATTTTCTCGGGATGCACGGAGTTGCAATTCATCACATGCTTCGTAAAAATATGGAACGATGTACCCGCCTGCACCACATTGGTTACCATCGACCCCTCAAAGTAAATGGTCGGATCCTGGACACAGTCCTAGTTTTTCTCAAGATACTATGTTAAAGTTTAAAGTGTATCCACCTGAACCTTTGAGAAACTATGTGAGTGTCAGGATGTGTTGCTTCTGGAAGAAGATGAACGAGGAAGGAAAATAGAATGGTGCCGTTTGCTGGATGTATATTTCAGAGGAAAACTTGCTCCAAGGCTAACTCCTCCAGTGCCTTGGGTATGGCGATGTATGTGGTTTCTCCTGCAGGCCTTGCAAATACTGATCACCCAATCGGTTTAGAAGATTATACGTTATGTTAAATGGACTGACTCAAGGAACTGACGAGTTCACGCAAATCCTAGCTCCACAAGGATCTGAAATAACTCAAACTTACAGAATAAAAGGATTAATCCAGTGCCAACAGTGGCAAGTAAATCGCTTAAGATATTTTCTGTTCCCTGGGATAACCTGTGACACAAGGGAGACTCGAGCAAAAGTTTGAAACAAAATGCCATTTATTAGAAGGATCTGCGTATCAGTGAATGCCACAAATTGAACATTGCAATAGCTTCACAAGACAAGGACTTCGGGTGGCAGTGTCTCTAGTTCCATGATAATGGCAGTACTTACATTGTAACAAAGACTTTCAGCTTCTACCCACTGTTAGGTGATACTCGGACAAATATCATACATACTAGAACTTAGACTAGAAAATGTATCCTACGTTACCGAGGTATTGAAATACTGAAGTGTCAAGCGTCCACAGGTAGGTAACCGAACATTTTCATTCTTGAAAGGCGTTCAAGTTCTCTCACAGGATGATTAGCATTCTACATTTGAACGCAGAACTTGCGTCTAAACTGCTTGCACTTGAAGTCCATAGCGCAAAAAATAATCTCGAAATTCCGTCCATACTACAATTCCATCACCGTTGGCATCTAATTTCTTGTACATATCCTCCACCAGTTCCTACGACAAATCACACGATTACGAAAAACCATGCGTGTTTTTAATTAGATGCTCAACAGTTAAACAATCATTAATGCTCAGGAGCAAGCGTCTCTGTGCTTGCATCGAGACGATCTACAAGGTGAATTGAGCCAGCTATCCTCTAAATTTTAAGAAGCAAAAAAGAAATAAAAGAAAAGAAAATTTGACAGCACAATATCATGGTAATTAAAAATCTTACAATCGTCTGAAGGTACTCAGTACTGATCAAGCAAATTCTATCAGTTTCAAGATCCAGCCTACTATTCAATCAGCATCTTTCTAGTTCAAAGAAAAGTGAAAAGCAAACTCGACGTAGAGAAAGTCATATATATATATACCGATGACACGTGTCTATGGCCTGATTTGATTTCGGTGAGGTCCTCCATCATGGAAAGAAGTTCATCCTTACTCAGTTTGGAGTCTGAGTCTGCATTATACCGGTCCCACACCCTTCAAAATTCACCAGCAGCAGAGACAAATTACAAGCTGTGGCCACATTATTCTCTCAATGTCGCTCACCTCCAACTTAATCACAATTACCTGAAATTTCCTAGTTTGCATGAAATTCAGTCACAGCTATGTTTGGCTAACTGGCTACAATTATTTTAAGTATGTGTTTATAAACACACCTTCTTAAATCGCCTTCCAGGAGCGTCGCACTCTCGAGGTGACAGATAAAAGCCTTGCCTGGATCAGCCCATGCACTTGACAGATAGTCACTAGTTTGCATGTGGTTCAACCTCGACACAGTTCGTGCAAATGCAAACTCCTCATCACTCTCCACGTATTTTGAACCCGTTGAAGGGATGGCAACTTCCACTTTCCCTTTTAATGTTGCAGAGTCCTCTGCCCTGCCAAAACATACCCTCTTCAAGTTCTACGTTCGTTGATAGTTGCTATTTTCAATTCAAACATGAATGGTATAACAAAGTCCACCTAGTCACCCAATCGACAATGGTTTAAATCTAGGCAGTGATATGGATTGAAGAGGATATGGGAGAGAAAATAAATGGAGGCAGCGGCCAATTTTGGCCTGTATTTCATTTAAAGGCAACATACAAGCAATGTCGCATAACATTAGGGTTAGAGCTGTACCTTGGTTGATATAGAATGCCAGGATCTGTTTCTGCACTTATGATCACCTTAACTTTCTGCACCAACGAAAACGGCCAGTTAGATTTCCTCACTTCTAAGTGAAAATACAGAGGAAATCTGTTGACTATGATTGCTTGCAACCAAAAAATATTCATCCGTGCATGATTATAACTTCAAGAAGATGAAAATTTTCGATTATCTAAAGAAAATATGCAAATAAAATCACTGGGTTTAAACAAACTCCATCAGGAAAAAGCGTTTGAAAGGAAATACAAATTTCGGATTGAAAAAAACAAAACAAAACAGTTTCTCTCTATCCACCTCGCGACAGCAGTTCTCCATCAAGGTTTAAGCAAACAGGTATTTGTCAAAAGTTCATTCCAAAACCCGAAAAAGACAAAGATGTTCATGCATTTATCGGATCACAACATGATAAGACAATTACTTGGCTAATCCATAAGAGGCTCATTGATAATACCTGCTCATAGAAGATATCCACCAGGGTAATGAACCTCCTTACCTGCAACAAATTATCCCAAGTTGTAACCTACGGAGTTGTTGGGTCTAGATATCAGCAAAGGGCCTTAAGGCTGTTTCAATGAGATGAGATGAGCATGCCTCACAAAACATATGTGAAAAAGGGATTCAAAACACGATACTGTGTAATTTCCACAAAAACTATGGATTTACATGGATGTAGAAGTGACACTAAGTTTCACGGATTCTCATTGAAACCGTCTTTCCTAGGTCTTCCAGCAGCATCCCGAATGGTAATGAAACTATGAGAACGTCCTCAACCGCATGACACACTTCGACGCTCTTTGAAAAAGCAAGTTAACGACATACAGTCCTGCCTGTGCACCCTAATGTAATGCTGATTGTCTAAGGATCTGACTAACCAGAAAGAGACACGGTAGTGTCCCAGTCTTCTAAGTATTTAGGAATTGGCGGGACAAGAGACTGGCTCTAAAAAGAATATGCAGCGATCGGGGCGTACGAGTTCAGAGTGGACCCTTGTTAGACGTGGAATGCCTGATATGAAAACAGTATGGAAAGAGGATGCAATTGCAAGGTAGTCAGCTGCTCCCTTGGCCGCTCCGCAAAGCTCCTTGAAAGTAAATGCAGCTACACCTCCAGCTGCTTTCGGAACTGCCAAAAGACTCAAAAGAATGCACCATTCTGATTATACCCACCCAGCGGAATATTCAGAGTTAGCAATGAAAGCAACCCACACCACCGTTTAGCTTGTCCTGAACCATTTGCTGAAGACCGCAATAAACTGGGTATTTGAAAGAAGCACCTTCGATGGTGCGACTTCCTTCCTTCAAAATCGTGCGACCAATGGCGCGGTCTCCAGCGAGTTGCTGAAACCCAAGCTCCATTTTCTTAGCCGTATTGTCGTCAAGTGGCTGATGCCAAACTTTATCTAGAGCCCTGGATGACCCACTCAAACCTAGTGTCCAGTCAAGTACCGAAGAATAACAATCACCTGAATCAGCTAGAATAAAAATGCAGAATGGGATGGCAAACTCTTACAAGAGAGACTGGAAGTTTTAGTGGCAATCTGTACTTCAAATGGATTCCTGAAGTAATGAATCAGAGAGATGGTCAAATAACTAGTTCATGAGAAAGAAAGAGTGGAGAGATACATTAGTAATGAAAGTCACCTGGAACCTTCAGGGCGAGTACCGATTAGACGATAGTCAGAAGCTTGGGGGCGGAAGGCGTACACTTGACACCGACTCTTTATCAGCTCAATGCATGGTAGAAATAGTTCCCTTTGAATACCGTTTTTGTACAACTGTAACCAATTCAGGAAAGACTAAGAGAGAGTTTGTTCTCATGCATTTTTTAGACGATAGTTCATCCTTCAATAGTTGAATTTGAAGAATAGATGATTTCAATGCACGTTGGTTTACACCCGAGATTTAACATCAAACGATGACAATTTTGAAGCCGAGAATTGCTCGAGGAGAGTGGAAAGTAAGCAAGAGTAATCAAGGGAGCAAACCTCAGCAGGAGCACGATTTGAAGACGCCACCATGATTCCTCCACCTTTGAAAAGGTTCTCCAACAGTCGTTTCAGAAGCATGGCATCAGCAATGTCAGTGACCTATAACAAAGTATAAGTAACCAAACCGTCAAAAATAGAACCCCTAAAGTCAATGATTAACAGCAGATTTGCAGCGTCGAGTATCTTCGTAAAGTCATAATGATGGCACGTTGACTCTACGAAGACGCCATCTTAATTCAAGAAGATAAAGATTAATTCCATGAAGATTCAAGATTATAATGTCTGATTTATAAAAAATTAAAAATGAAAATCTGAATCTAAGAATGATTAAAATTTGTGTAGGTATTCAAGTAGTTTGCAACCTGAAATTCATCGAAGCAGAGCAACCAGCCTGACTTCAAGACATCAGAGGCAAGCACTTCCACTACGTCAACATCCCTTTGCGAAGTTCTCATATTGTGCAGGCTGGTAGAAGAACAGGAATCGAAACTCTCACAAAGTCAACGGCCAAGCTTAGAAAAGATCATGGTGATGTCCGCAAGTGTTTTCAAACACAATCTAGGGTGTGGGAATGTAACTGGTCAAACTCGGACAGGGCAAACACAATCGCAAGGTATTCATTGGCGGAATTGCTTATTAATCGATAGGAACATGGACTAATGCAGACTCTGCATATCTTCACCTTAGACACCCAAACGTGCAAGAATGTGACTTTCGAAACAAAAATCCGATAAATTTAAAGCGGTGAATCATTGAACATTCGTACCTCTTGTGAATATCAAGCATGAACTGATGGAAATGAACCCTTCGTTTGTTTTGGATAGGACTACAGTGGAAGAAAATATCCGCCACTAACGATTTTCCTGTACCCACCCCTCCATGGATATAAACCCTGCAACGCATATTGAGTGTATCATTAACAAAATGGAAAAGAATGGTAAAATCCACAAAGCAAAAACTCGGACAGATGAATGCCGAAGATCAAAATATCATGAAGACCATTATCAGTCAAAAAGGAAGTCCGCCTTGGGGTTAACCGTATTCCAGCCGAACAAAAAAAAGGTAGGGTTTGATATAGAGCTTTTGTCATTAGCTGCAATAAGATAAATTCAGAAAACATTACTGGTACAGCACCTAATGCAGAAAAAATTACAGGACCCAACAGCCTTCACATCATACCCTTGAGGAGCCACCTTCGGACGGGTCAACCCCACAGCTGAGAAGAACTTGTTGCCCACCCCTGGAGTTGACTGCTCATACGTTTCGAGCTCCCTGTGCAACCGCTCCAGAGGCTGCAACGCAGCCACTTGACCTGCGTCTAATTTGATGGTGCCGGCCTTTACCAGCTGATGATACGCATCCAACGGATACGTTCCCCTCGGAATTCTCTCCAGGCTTTCCACAATCCCTCCATACTCTCGTAAACGCATGTTGAAGACACGACCCATGGACGGTATGGCAACGGCACACAGGTGACCAAATGATCGATGTAGGCGGCTCCTTTGCCTCATGACATGCACGCCTGTCCTTCCAGAACAATCAAAGAAACCCCTCTTGGTTGAGGAGCATTGGCTTGGAGGTCAAGTGCTGCGTCTCCATAGCTATAGACACCAAAGATCCTGCCGAAAGTAAGGACCCACCGGCTAAACTTCCGAACAGGTCCAGGAAACGAAGACGAGATGCCACAGCTACGTCCAGAGCAAATAACTACGTCAATTGTACCCCATAACTGAGACCGCTGATGCTAACTCCTCATTGACAATTGTGACGGCTGTTGATGTCATAACGCAGGCGCTGCACATTTCAATATCAACCGCAGGAAACGGCGAATTCCTGACATCGGAAATCACGCATGGACACTGAAGCCTTCAGTCACGTCCACATTGCCATGCATCTGGGCAGCCTTTGGAGCTCGTGTTGACGTGAGGTTCAGACTAGCATGCATCGATGTTGAATCCAACTTCATGGGATTCGGACCCACGATCGGAATCAAGCTTATTTGGAGATGCGGGATCAGATCGAGTGAGACGATGGTGATCGCGGTCGTGGTGGTCTGTATTGCTCGTGGCTTCCTTCGACGTCGAACCCAATGGGCGGTTGACTCTGTCGGCGGAGATGAATGCTGTTCACAATTTTTGGATGACATTCAAAAGACAGATTGGGTCACATAACAGTTGGTGAGAATGATTCAAAGCTTGAGAGCTCAGCGAGTGCTCAGATTGCCTTGGAGCTTGTCATTTTTCATGACATTGTGTGGTTTGTTTCACTTGAATCAGATTCTTTATTTGCTTGTTCTCCTCCGTTGTGATTCTACTACGTCAATGGAGACATAACTGTAGTCCAACTGCATTTCCTGTGGGTGCTTCTTCCGCGGAATATAATGCCGTTGCCATAAATACATGTGAAGGAGTTCCTGGACCTGACATTCACATTTGGGTTAAAAGCCCCCTTACCATTGTTGTTGAATGTTGTTCAATGTGAAACTCCTAAGCCAGACCTGACATCTGGTAAGAGTAATTTGGGGATTGAATTGGACCCAATTGTCAAGCTCAACTCACACGAAGAGCAATAGTGACGCCCACGTGAAGGAGTATCGAAGAGCTCTGTATGAAGCTTTAAGTAACATTATCTTTACAGTTTCTTCAGTCCACTGCAAAACATTTGAGGGGAATGCACAAGATTTTGTGCTTGTTTTGGTGATTGTATTTGAATTCAAGTTTTGCTTTCAAGCTAGGATTGTTGGGGTGTGGGGATGCTCATTAGATTAGAAAGAAAGACTCTTGATGATGGCATGAAGTGATCGGTTCTTGGTGATGCTAGGATTGGCTCAAAACAATTATAGTTAATCAGGGTTTGGAAATTGGTTTTTGAAGAGGATCACGTGGATTATTTGATTCTGGTGCTTTGATTGCTGCAGCAAACAGATCTCATGGCGAGCAACTAACCCCAATAGTTTCGACTGACCGTGCTTTGCCCTAGCTCCTGCACTGCTCTTGGTCACGATTCGAGGGCCGCTGAAGGGGTGCTTTTATCTGCGGCCATGGTATTCTCCCAATACCCCCTACTATGGTCATTTTGCCATCTTGTTTGCTCTCAGTGATTTGCCTGAGGTCGATTACTCACAAAAAGTTAAGCAAAGTATGAGTGATCATGCCTACACAAGTTTCCTGGTTTGGTTTTCTCGTGATAAGAGCCACAAGAAAACCTCAGGCAGAAACGTTGTTTGAATCTTCTTCCAAAATTTAGAGTTACTTTGCTCACTCCTATCTCTTAAGGTTTGGTACATGATAATTTCATCGCCAACTTTTCCTTCCCAAAGCACAATATGATTGTCTTTTTATGAGGCTAGTATATTTGGAGGTAGTCTTGATAAAATTTCATGATTTGTCTATTTGTCTGGGATGGTACTTTAATTGAATGTGCAGGGATTGTTGTCTTCGCTGCGGAGGCTTTACAGATCGCAGGCCGATGTTAGTAAACCTTGCAATCATTTTTCATCACATTCCTCAAGCTGGTATAGGTTATCAGTGTCATTGGAAAGTCTCCTTTTCTGTCACAATGTTTCCAATCCACAACTTTCCAAGAATCCAAAGACTTGTATCTGTCATTCAGAACATATCCATGCTCGTAGTGATTTGAGACATAGCTAGGTCTTTTAATGTAGCTCTGATTGTAACCTGGTGGAACTTGACCCTCAAATACCCATTCGAGAAAGGCTCGATTGTGGAAAGTTATGTGTTTGTCTCTGCTGAATAGTTGATGATTGTTGACTGATTGACTTACATGTGTTCTGACCCACAGGAAGCGAGGATCTTGTTTTTGGGCTTGGACAATGCAGGAAAGACCACCATTTTAAAACTGTTGGCAGATGGAGACATCCAGACAGTGACGCCTACGCAGGTTTATTTGCCTTAAAATCTGTGTACATGGCTCGAATTCCGGCTTTCTGCTTGAATGAGTGGATACATATGATTGATATGATTCTGTAGATGAATTCTCCTCTTCAGAATTGTAGGATTTCTTTTTGCACGCTATTGCAGCCTAAGAAGTTTTTAATGAAAGGCACATTGAACTGACTCTGCACAGGATCATGTCGCTTCGTCTTTTCCATATGTTGACAGGGCTTCCACATTCAGTCACTAATCTATGAAGGTTTCAGGTTAAATGTGTGGGATATAGGCGGTATGTGCCTTCGTCATATGCTATTGTTTGAGTTTTGAACAACGTCAGCAGACTGCAGTAATAGTTCCCGGTTTCGGAATCTGTGTGGAAAGTATCCATGTTTTTGGTGCATCAACCCAACCTCAATCGTAATTGATTAGAAGCATCTCATCATCTTCTTCACAGAACAGTATTGCACGCACCGTGATAGTTTTGTTTTGGCAGGTCAAAGGGCAATCAGACCATACTGGCGGAATTACTTCGAAACAACAGATGCCTTGGTAACCAACCTTTCGTGTCCCGTTTCTCCTTGATATGATGCTCCCAAAGAGGGACGCCATCTTCAGTTCAGTTAGTGAAACTGATTCAAAGTGAGATCTCTATATTGTTCAAACTAAAATTCCCTAAGAGTGGCACTATGAGTACTTGCGTGTTCAAGTTTTTCTATTTCATGGTTACGAGTAAAGTGAAAACAGAGGAAAATGGAAGCCCCCTGCGTAATGCCCTCACGGTGTCCTCACTGTCTGGAGGGAAAGCTTCTAATTTCTTAATTAGGATTTACGGTGGTGCAGGTATATGTTTTCGACTGTGCTGATAGGCACCGTCTTAAGGAGAGTGGTACATGTTCACACTAATCACCCAGCCTGGTAGCTTCAAGCGTTACAAATAAACTCAATCTTTTTCTAAGTACCATACTGTCTGAGTTTCAATTACTCTAAAAAAAGAGATAGCTGGGGAATGGGTTGAGTGCAGGGGATGAGTTGAGCCTGCTCCTCGAGGAAGAGAAGATAATTGGCGTCCCACTACTCGTTCTGGCCAACAAGCAGGATCTTCGACATGCACTTCCAGCTGATGAGGTAAACTTAGAGCGCAGATATATCTTCAGTCTATAGCAGCTGATATGGACTACACTGTGGCTAGTAGCATTTCTCAATTCACATCCTCAGTGAGCAGGTAGCAGCTGGCTTGAATCTCGTGGCAATACGAGACCGAACTTGGCAGATCCAAGGATGTTCAGGTACACCCATATTTCATTTCCATGTGAATGAAGAGTAGATGATTGTATTCTCAGTACTATTATCGATCATCACGAGATGGATTTGTGTTCACTGACTGTATCTTACCATAATGTTGCAGCCAAAACTGGAGATGGGTTGCAAGAAGGTATGGATTGGATACTTCAGAGAGTTAAAAACAAGGGAGAAAACAGACATGCTCGGTGAAACTTGCAAACCATTCTGGGAGAACCGTATCAACAGAGGCAGCAGATGTTCATTTTAAACACCTAAATTTCACATGCGCTTCAGATTTCAGGTTCTAGAATAGCTAGTTAATGACTCCAAGCTATGAATGAATCACAGACAAGGTACGGTATGCCACCTAAAACTTGCGTAAAAACCTTCATGCACACTTTGAAAGCAAAAGACTATTAGTATGAAGAAAATATTATTAGCATGAACAAAAGCCACTATTAACCAAACAAGAACTTGGAGCGATGAGTTCGAGTTTGTTACAGAGAGTTTGATTGTTGGTATTTTAATTATTTATTACTTTTCGTTTTGTGTATACATATCAAAGAGAGATTTTGCAAATAACCATCAGCAAACGCATTGATTGAATGAGCATTGAAATGGTTTTATTAGAGATTGTAATGTCAACAATATCATTTTTTCTCTTTAATAGGTTTTTACTGTAGAAAATTGGAATGTTATTTATTGAAAATGAAAGAACACACGACGTTATTTATTGAAAATGAAAGAACACACGACGTTATTTTATTCACGTTGTGCACTGCTTTTGTATTAAGGTAGAATTAAAGTTGAACATTATAATGCAATTCAGCAAAACTAATAAAACATCATTACTGAAATTGATTGACACATAAATTTCTTATTGTATTACAGAATTTATCTGATTGTATACATAACACACTTATAGTATTCCGTTAATTCCTGAACTTTATGATGCGAGTCAAAATATACCATTATAGTTTACTCTAAACATGTTCTATTCATAAAAATACCTATAATTTCTGTCAGTATGCATCCTTAGGCTACAAAGAAGTCTATCAAAAAAAATATACATTTTTACTTCTTAACTGAATAGATTTACCCTTGTAATTTGGTTATGAAAATTTTTGTTCATGAATGTAATCATGTTAAAAAATTCTTATTAAGGGGTTTAATCTTTATTTTTGCAATGTTTGAAATGTTGTATGTTCAATACTCTTGTAAGTTTGACATTAGTGGTATAGTATAATGTACCTAATTTTTAAGATTTGTTGGCAATGATTTATTGTGTCAATTTATTTAATAATAAATTTATAATATTTTTCCAAATTTAAAAATCCAGTTTTTACCACATCGTTTGTAATTTTTTTATATTAAAATTTATTGTCTTCTTTGGCTGCAGGTAAAACTAATTTTACACAACTAAATTAATACATTCTTTTTTAATTTCATAGAAAAAATTTAAAATAAATTATTGATATTTTAATAATCTAAAAACGTTGGAACAGAGAGAATAATGAACCACCCAACAACCTTGAAAGGAATTTAAAATAAAATAAATATAAATATAAATATAAAATAAAAAAAACATCCTTCAAAATTCTTAGATGTAATTAATATGGAAAATAATTTCAATTAATTTGAAAAATCATGCTGAAGTGCATCTCATATGAAAGAAGACCTAAAACATAACAATACATGTCATAAAATTTATCCTCAGTTTATTTTAATGCCTAAGATTTATTTGTGTGTGCGCGTGTGTGTGTCTTACAACCAAAGTGGACGACATTCGTTGGTGGACGATTTTTGAGGGACCAGTTCTCATTCGTTCGCCCCAGCCACGAAGCTCTGGGCGTTTGACTCTTTAAAGTAGAACGTGGTGAAGGTGGAAGAAAAAGCGAAACCCTAAAGACGCGCTAGTCTCAGTCCGACACATCGGTTGGTGGGCAAAGGGAGAGAGATCGAGCGAGATGCTTTGGAGTTTCGCCATCGATTTTGCCATTCAGCTTCTCCATTTGGTCTTTGGAGCGGGAGGAGGTTTGGGCACTTGACCATGCGGAAGTGTGTGTAATTTGAAGAGGATCGTGGTTGCAGGGAGTCTGTTCGAACATTTGTAACGAGGTATCAGCCCTAGTTATGTAGGGTTTTGATCTCTTGTTGATGGTTTTAGGGCCATGTTCAGCACATTTCGATGTAAGATGTTGGTCATTCTTATGTTTCGTTACGCAGGATATCCATGGTATGGTATCCCATTCTCATGCTAGACTCTGTTGTATTTTGCAGTGGGAGGGAGCATGCTGTAGAATCTCAGTTTTGTAGCGATTTGTGACGATGAGATGCTAGTGCGAAATTGAGGACAGGTACTGATTGGCATCAACAGCGGAATCTTTTAGGTTTCCAGGGGTAGACAACAATGGATGGGAACTTGAAAGCAATGCCAGATACGTCCAGGTGGGTGGTGATTTACCCTGTGTACATCAACAGTAAGAAGACCTTAGCAGAGGGACGACGCATTTGTGCATCGAAGGCGTGTGAGAACCCTACTGTAGTAGAGATTGGTGATTGTTGCCAATATCTGAGGCTTCCCTGTGCCATCGAGGTCTGTTCACTCATCTTTCATTTTTGGTAACGTAAGTTGATAGTACATGGAACGATTTTTTTTTCTCAGCGGCTTCAGGCATTGAAGGGTCAAAGTCAGGCAGGTGGCATGTCACCAGTATGCAAAGTAGCTCTTATGTTAAGACCTGCTGCAGATTTTTATCCATGCAAAAATCCACACTGCAGTAGTTTGTTACAGTTTCTACTGTGGATGTGTTTGAATTTGCGATAGATAGTGTAGTAAAGATGTTATTTTGGGGCGTCCAAATAATCATCATGCGCTATCGCTTGAATGAGTCTATTTTGAGTAGTCTGTACAGTTCTACCTTCTGATGACTACTGTTGTGTCTGCGCTGTCTCTTAACACTGATGTTTTCCGGGTTCCAGATAGATAAAGCGTACTCGAGAGATTTTATGCAAAGAGGACGAGTAAGGGTGCAGCTGAAACGAGATGATGGCACTCTCGTTAACTCAGCCATTCCCTCACGTAAGTCTTTCCATCTCAGGTTTTCCTTCGCTGCTAAACCAGTTTTAACCTATTAATATCGTTCCTGACTTCCTAGTTTCAATATTGTGGTAAGCCGTTCATTCGTTTTTTTCTGTATGGTATTGTAGTTCATAGTGCAATTTTTCCAAATCATTCTGTGTTTCAAAATTCAAGTCATTTTCTCTTTTACTCTAGACTCAAGTTTTCCAGCCACCGCCTTTGCTTTCTTTGATGGTTCGCAGGCAAAACTTTGTTTTTAAAAGTAGCGGAACTTGTACCAAAGCATCACGGCCGTAGCAAAAAGCAGGACCATTCTGGCTCAACTTCTACTTCAGGTGGTGCTCAAGCTTCCAAATCTGGAAAGAGTGGTAAGAAGAAGAAGTGAATCCTTTCAACAGAGTTTTCTTCTCTGGCATAACGGGATCTTCTGACCGTGTTGCAAAATCGCCAACTTTTAGAAGGCTTGCCACTACTATTTTGTAAGTTCCAAGCGCTTCTCTTTGGCCAATGTCCTGTTATTAGTTTGGCGCACGAGGATCAGTTTTCTGCTTCCTATTCTTGTGTATCCAAAGTGGCAGATATGTATCATTTGACCAATCAATTGCGAATTTGCACCTCCTTCAGTTACTTCCGTCGACTGGGCTCTGCATTTTGCTGTTTCGAATTCTTCGATGAGAATTTCTTGAAGTTCTTTGTATACATCTCGTGATGATCTTCATAAATTGTAGTAATTCTGGTTCTCCAAGATTTATAATTCGAGGCCATGCGATCAACCTAATTCGATTAGGCTTGCTAAACCTGTTAACTCAGCAGGATACATTTCTTGAACCTGACCAGGAGTCGGTATATCTTTTAGACTGTGCCTTACCTTTGTATTATACAATCCAGACACCAAGCTTTAAAGGATTGTTGATCTTGACTTTCACAGAAGAACTTGAGATACTAGTCATTCCTTGATTGTACTCCTCATCTGTCACTTTTTGAGCCAGTCTTGGCTTGTAATTTCTCCTCAATTGGATCTTCTGTACTTGGCAAGATGCAACATACACGTCCACTGGCAACGACATTTTCAAGGTGTTCAACTTTTAAGTAGCCACCTCGATGGCCCGTTAAAAAGTAAGATTTGCTAATTTTGTCACAAAATTTAGCATTGTCCAATTGTTGAGTTGAATTGAGCACAGTTGACATTGCTAAGGTGTTGAACATGGACACGTATGTTTGAATCTATTGCAGGTGGCCTTGGATTCCGCTGTCAAGGTGGTTTGCCAAAACCTCAAAGAAACTCAATTAGTATTTATTTATTCATGTAGATCGCACACGGATTAAGTTTAGTTGGAGTTCACTTGATGGTTAACAAGCAGAGAGCAAACCTAATTAGATTTAACAAGAATCATTTCAATTCTACCAAAAAATTTCAAATATACATGTTTCTAATTTTCAGGAACGGGGTATTCAATATTTTATAGAAAATAGAAAATAATCCTTTGAGCATACACGGATAAGTACAATTTTTCAAGAGATGGAGCTATTAGTGAACTAATGTAAAGATCCGCTTCAATGTAAAAAAACCAAGATTGACATCAGTTTCGGACCCTTTGCATCTACAAAACACGTAACTCGTAGAGACAACCACATAAACACCAACGTCTATCTATACAACACTCTTTTTTATTAAATCTTTGTGTCTAGTACATGACTTGCTTCAATGTAATCCTCATTCACTAGCCTATGTGATTTTATTTGTACATTACTTTTTTAAGTCAGTAAGCCTGCATGCGCCCTTCGGCACAATGGAACATTCGAATCCTCTACTCATACAAGTGCATGAGCACCTGATTATATACCAGCCATTTATTTGTTTATTAGTACTTTGCTTACGTCAGACCAAATCTACGGAGTGGTTGTTGGGCTTCGTCACACAATTGTACAAACTTGTTAATTTCTTGGATCAAAATTTTACCTTGTGATCAAATTTATATATTATGTTTGAAATTATGCAATGTTAAATCCAATAAATATATGTTTAAAAATAATAAGTTATGAATATTTTCACAGTAGTGAATCAAAAAAATTGCAGAACTGAACTTATCTCAATGTAAAAATGTTTATAAACAAATTTTCATTTGCAGTATCACAGTGTTAGAAACCCATGCTAATATTGAAGTTGTTCACATCACCCAGTTTTTTTTTTTTTTTTTTTTTTTTTTTTTTTTTAATTTCATGTAATGGAATAAACACCGAACCACACACGATTTAGAAAGAGAAAACCTCAAATGTAAAACAAATAAACAATCAAAAATCACACACTCAAAATGACTATTGTAGCATTGCAAATATCAATATTCTATTGTAAAGAATGAATTTTGAGCTGGGTAGGGTTTGAATATTGAATCAAGCCTCGTTACAATAGCACCATAAATCACATATATTTTTTGTTCTACACACCTCTCTGAAACCAGCATTTGGAGATACTTGTACCCAGATATTAGTAAGGTGACTCACAGCCATTCCGATATGAATGGTCGACGATGACGTGGAGAGATGAAACCTTCCAAGTAGATTCCGATCCGACGGCGCAACTTCGACGAACTCAACCCTCGTCGATCGGGAGGGAGTAGAATGACGACGGAGGGTGGACGAAGAAGTTGGGAAGGGCACGGATGGACGAAAGAGGGACGAAAGAGGAACGAGATATGGACGGAGGTGGGACGGAGTGGGCGCCGACGAACCTGCGCTCGGCGGGCTTTGTCTCCGTGCGGGGCTCCTCCCTCACACTCTCTCACTCTCTCCATTGCTGTTTTCCCTCCACAGCTTTGCTCCCTTTCGGCTACTCTACTCTACTCTACTCTTTCGCCACACCATTCCCAACCCCGTCGTCGTCGTCGTCTTCATCGCCATTGGCTTTACCGTCTTGTTGCTGCACCTGGTTTGCTTGGTCGACTTTCCGTATCGTTTCTTCTCCGTTGTGGAACCACATGCCACAAATCTCCTCATCCGTGACTCCCCGATACCATCTCAAGTCACAGCGGCAGAAGCAGGAGGAAGAAGGGTGTCGGTTTAAACTTTCGCTTCTTGTCCTCGGAGGGTGTGTACACGCGTAACATTTTCGCTTCTAGAGAGTCCGTTTGTTACTCTCATCGACGTCGTCATGGGCACCGACTTTGGCTCTGGTTTATTGTTGTTGCCCTCTGACGTTTGAATCGACCAGCGGAAGGCTGCGGAGCACACAGCGAGGGTAGCTGGAAGAGGCTAGGGCAAGGCGCGTTTGAGCGGGATTAGTTGCGTGCTTCGTCAAGGCACTTTCAGCTCGGGAAGGTCGTTGAATTCGTTAATGGTGCGGGGGAATATACCCTAGCTGGTCTTTAACTAATTTAGTTTGTTTTGGTTTCGAAACCTGTTTTGGCTACCTTTGGTGCGTGGGAGGAGGTGTCGTGCGGCTTGGTTGGGTTAGGGAACACGTGTGGTTTCGGGCAGTGCTGGAAATATGACAGGCCACGGATGGATCGGGTGTATGTTAGTTTATGAATTACTGTTAACCATGTGAATGGGGGTGAAGAATTGTAGTTCGCGATCGCTTGCGGTGTGGTGGCCGGCAGTGATATGCATTTACATAATTCAATTTTTCGTTGGATTTGTACTTCTCTTTGGGGTGCTATTACACGTGATTCATGTCCGAATTTGTGATACTCACAAAAAAAAAAAAACAAAAAAAAAAAACATGAAATGTAAAGTCGAGAACTGCTTTACAGTGGAATTGTAACAACCAGCACAATATCTTCATGCAAGAGGTCTGTTACTTTCTGCTCGGATCGTCCCCTTGTGGCAGGGTTTAGTTTTTTGGCTTTTGAGGATAATTACAGTTTTTTTTAAGACACATGTTAGTAGACGGTTCACAATCGACAGGAACATTGTCTTCCATATTTTTTGAATTGCTATACGATCATGCTGTGTTGATAAGGAAGAGCTCGACGATAAACAACGTCCCAAGGGGCATGTGACGCGAACCATTTCTCTCTAGTACATATTGTGAGACCAAAAAGTAGTTTTGGCCGGGCTGTAAATATTCCAATGGTGCTAATTTTCTATCTCTGTTATCTATTAGGAGTAGTTTGGGGGAGAGAGTAGATATCTGAGTCTTGCAATTTGTGGAGAGTTTAAATGGAGAAGGTTGTGTTAATTGTGCACATGTGCCCGAATACCACTGGCATGACCTTTTGAAATGTATTCAATCATGAGGCTGCTCTGCTATAGGATAGCGTCCTGGCGAGTTTCCCTCTTAGATGTTTGTGATTTGGTCCGAATGCTTTTTTTTTTTTTTTTTTTTTTTTTTAATTTTAATTTTTTTATCTCAAGGTGATGTAGACAGTTCGCGCAATGAATTTTGATGCATTGCAGACGTTCAAGGGATTGAATTGTTCTAGTCCACGAAATGTTGGTGCTAATCCTTTCTCTTGTCTTGTCGAATAGTACGATGGGGATTTACTTGAGCACACCAAAGACTGAAAAGATATCTGAAGATGGAGAAAATGCGGAGTTGCGGTTTGGCTTATCTGCCATGCAAGGATGGCGCGAAAGCATGGAAGACGCAGTACGTTCTCCCCTAAATATTTAAGAACGAACGCTTTGCAAAATAGTTCAATTCGAAAATGTTGGTCTTGAAAGTGATTTACAGCTACGTTCAAAATACTTATGTTATCACAGTGATTATTTTCGATGCTCTTCGGCGTCGACGATGTCGCCTGATGATCCGAGAAGTTCCAGGGCGAATTATGTGAATTTGCATTAAAATTTCGCAGCTCTCTCATACTTAAGGCCACCAGTGTTCCTGTTCTTTGCATTCAAAATTAATTTCAGTAATAAATTTCATGTAGGATTAATTCTTCCACTTGCTGGTGTAAATTGGAAGAGGAGAAAGAAATAGATATGAACAGAACATTCTTGCAAACGCGTGAAGCAGATAAAGTACTGAGATTCAATTGTGTCAAGTTACTTTATTTCTGCACATATCTGCTGCTTATATCTGCTCTTCCATGTGCAGCACACGGCTATTTTGGACGTGGATGAGAAAACATCGACGTCAATATTCGGCGTTTTTGATGGACATGGAGGTGCGTAGTAGGAGCTTCATATACTTATTAAGTCTTAGTGTGGAATTCGTAAATTTATGTATGGGATCGAAGAATTTTTCAACACCGTGTGCTTTAAATGGGCATGGAGAGCTTGGTGAGCCACTAGATTATCGTGCAACATTATCCTACGTAGAGTATGATTCCTTCTGCGTAGATTGAATTAGTCTTTTGCATCTCTCGGCGTTTTCTTTAAACCTTGTTTTGCATGTACTCTTAGTTCCTGTAATGTTGAATGGTCGTCGAGTAGTTTCCCTAGCGAAACTCTGCTGGGTGTATCCAAATCTTTATATAAGCAGCCGTTCAAATACGCCGTGAAGCGGTGGGTCTTGTGTTATTATGATCTCTAAGATACAAATCTATTACCCTGCAGGGAAAGTGGTTTCAAAATTTTGTGCAAAGTACTTACACAGAGAGGTGATAAAGTGTGACGCGTATGCTAAGGGCGATTTAGGTGGAAGTCTAGAACATTCTTTCTTGCGGTAAGTATTGCTATTTAGTTATTTATTTTATGTGGTAAAAAGGAAAAAAGAAGAAATCTTCATTCCTATATAAAAACAGCATAAGTAACAAATAGATTTTGATTTTTGATTTTTTCCTGCCGATGTGCGTTAATAAGAACCCTATGTGCGTTAATAAGAACCCTATGTAAGAATGATATTAATCGACGTTTTATTTGTTTATGTTGCAAGTTATCCGATTTAGTTAACATAGCAGCGCTTTGGTTATATGGAACAATACCTGACTTGATGCACCTGAGGAAGAGTTTGGAGATTTCGTGTACTGTTGCTGAGTTCCTCTTTGTATCATATCCAGTCCACTGTTCGTGAGTTAACAACAGGACATTTTCTCGTCTTGCCAGAATGGATGAGATGATGAAAGGGGCAAGAGGATATAGAGAGCTCATGCTTTTGGAAGAGAAAAGTGGTAAGGCAGGCAATAGTCATGGCTCCGCTAATGACGAAAGTGACAGGTTCAATTCTGCCATACAAACAGAAGGCAATGATGGTAACTGGACTGAAGTGGTGAATTCCTACAACCCTGCACCTTGATTTTTGTGAATTCAAGTTTATTGGTAAATCTCATTATCTTGAGAAGTTTTGTTTGTATGTACTACTGTAAGAGTTGCTTTGAATTACTTATAATTCCTATGCTTAATGAACTCGTTGAATCCCGCATTAAGCATTAAGCATACGAGTTACCCTAAATAATGTACTTAATTGTAAGGTGCTTTGCTCTGCTGTAAATTTCCAGGGGTGGGTTGTTCATGGGATTTTGTGGTTGCTGTAGGGTCCTAATTCAGATTACAAGGGCCCCAGCTCAGGCAGCACTGCAGTGGTGGCTCTGATTCGAGGCAGGAATTTGATCGTTGCCAATGCAGGAGACTCACGATGCATCATATCTCGACGTGGACAGGTCATCACTAACCTAGCTCTGAATTTTTACCAATTTAATTGCAAAATCGGAATTTAGCGTTTGCTAGTACCAAATTCAAAGTACGAATACCATGTCTGCACGCCAGTAAACGGTGTGTGAATTTCTAACGACTCAACATAATCCTTATGTTTTTCTTTTTGAGATATTTTAGGCTGAAAACCTCTCGGTAGATCATAAACCTGAGCTTGAGCTTGAGAAAGAAAGAATTAACAAGGCAGGAGGATTTATTCATGCTGGACGTGTCAACGGTAGTCTAAATCTTACACGAGCAATAGGTATGGCATTTGGATCATCCTAAATGCCTTTCTTTCTCCTCATTTTTCAATTTTGCCGCTCGTACTAGCTGTAGTAATTAGATCTAAAAGACTATTTATTTATTTCTGTGAAGAGCATGCTTTTCCTTGATTGCAGTCTTAAGTCGTTGCGCATGCAGGGGACATGGAGTTCAAGTACCAAACAGATCTGCCGCCTGACAAGCAGATAGTGACTTGCTGTCCAGATATTCGACAGGTGAACTACATTTGTTCGTGCACCACTAATTGTTGCACATGAAAGATAAATGTTAGATCTTGTCTAATTTAATTTTAATTATTGAGTCATGCATGTAATATTTATGAGTGATGTTTTTGGGGTTGGCACAGGTGGATATTGGACCTGGGGATGAATTCATCGTACTAGCTTGTGACGGAATATGGTGAGTTACAATTTTATTGTACTTCTCAGTGGAGAGCAGTAGACGTTTATCTTGAAAATTTACTGTTATGAACGAGAATAACCTTTTGAACTGCGATGCAATTCCTTAGGGGTCTTCTTTTTGTGGTTGGTCACTTGTATCTAGGAGCGTGAGTATAGGTCCAGCATTTGCATGAGAATTGTTTAGAGGATGATTTATCCGTGATGCATCTGTGTGCAGGGATGTTATGTCTAGTCAAGCTGTCGTGGATTTTGTCATACAGAAATTACCTACCGTAAGTACTCATCATGCTTTCAGTGAAGTTCGCATAGTTAATTTTATGCAGTTGTCATGTTTCTTGCATTTCATTTACATAAATTCAATTCTATGTTTCTTCCCTTGGATGTAATTTCCTTGTTATTTAGATGATTGAATGAGAGAGGTAAACGCTCACGTTAATTCTCTTCCATATCTTTATGCCAGGCCAAAACATTATCATCAATATGTGAGGATATACTGGATCACTGCTTGTCCCCTAGCACTCGTCAGCAAGAAGGGTGCGACAACATGAGCATCATCATTGTACAACTAAAACAATCGGGAGGTGTAGCCTCTGGCTCAGCAGATCCAAGTTTATGACGCTAGTTTGATACCGTTCAGACCCCTAAAAGTATTTAACTCAAACCATTCTGTAGGTGCTTTTTGTAAAGTTTTCCTAGGAAAATTAGGTCCCAACAAAACATAGCTTGAATTTTTCTCAGGATTTTAGGGGAAATCCTGAACTCAGAGGGCAGCAGTGTGTTTTTATCTTGGCTCTATTTGGGCTCCTTTGATTCATCAGAACAATTTCGAAGGATCAGTGGACCCCACAAAGTACACTACTTGTATGACTTTTCACAAGTAGAATTTGTACCCCTCTCAACAAGTGCACTGTGAACAAACTTGTTAAAAAGTAATGTTTCTGGAAGGTCTTTGAATATCATTCTTCTTGTTATGATAAGTCCAGTTCACAGTCTGGGAATGTGTGTGTATTGGAATTTAGTATTTAAGAGCGCTTAGAATCAGAACTAGCACAAGGTGATGCAAAAGAGACCCCAAACCCCTTCCCCCCTGACTAGTTATCTCTACCATGGTCTATTTTGTCATTTCCAAATTGGAGTAGTCGCAAAGATTGAATCATGGGAGCATGATGGGTCAATTTAATATTCCTCTACACATACATATATACAAATACTTATATGTTTATATAATACGTATATAATAAGCTTAGCAAGCTTTGTGTCACTTGCAATTAAGTTTTTAGGGATAGCTGTCCTATAAAAACCATATTCACAAGATTTGCAAATTAATCTTTTGTTCAAAGATTTTATATATGATTTCTAACAAATGTCACATAAAATAATTATAAATATATTATTTAATTTTTATTAAAACTTAAAATAAATAAATAAATAATTTCTGTTAATATTTAGAAATTTATGTTTGTATAGCCAATATTTTAATGACGAGTGCTACCAAATCTGTTAACATTTTATCATGATTGTTTTCAAAAATATTGTATCATGATAACATTAAAAATTAGGATATAAATTATTTAGTGAACAAATTACAATACATTTAGAGTTAAAATTTATTACATATACAATGCCACAATATAATGATCACATTTGTATCTCATTGATATAAATGACTTCTCAATTACCTTCACAATAACATTGTTTACCAAATCCACTTGGCCTAACTGCAACTCAACTGATTTTCCAATATGACATGCAACTACAATGTATTTCATTTTCCATAGATTGTTTTGTAAAAGAGTTATTATTATTATTATTATTTAAAAATTAACATTACAATAACATTAGAGTTTTAACAAAAGACTTGCAAGGACTTTCTCTTTTAGATAAAATGGGCATTTTTAATTTTTAAATTTTTTTTCATCATAAGAGAATTAAGACTATAAAAAGAAAAGAAAACAATACTAGAGGATTTTGACAAGGGACTGGGTTGTATGAACCCTATGTGGTGGAGTTGTAACCCACCTAATAGAATTTTCTGACACGGAGAGACCTAGCTAGTTTATCTAATGCATACTCTTGGAGATGAAATGGGTGCTGCAAAATGAAGTTGCAAGACTGCAGACTTGGTGAAACCGTCCACATTGTTTATTCATTTATTGACGAGTGAATAGCCACCAAGCACTGGATTGGTGGCACCCTCATACCACCCTCCAGATGAGCAACGTCATTTCTGCGGTTTTAGCTGTTCAGAGTGATCACTATCTAGGAAGCACTCTCCAGTATTGTTGGATGGATGCAATGTATCAATGGACAAGTTCCTAATCTGTCTTCTCTAATGCCAAACGAGAGGATTCCACTTATCATTCTAATCAACGCTGTAACCTTGAAAGCATCTTTAGACTTGAATGCATTTGTGTGTTCTACAGCTTGTGACACCACCAACTTGCCTACCAGTAATGGAGCAGAGTGGAGTACATCTTAACTCATTGGTCGTGCAGACACTGGTCGGCCAGATTGCTCGGACTGCTAAGGACTCACATTAAAACCAAAAGATGACCAAGTTTTTATTTTATTTTATTTTATTTTAGTTTTTTCAAATTTTGGGAGCGAATCCTTATCCCATGCATCTTTTGACTTGATATCAAACACTGTACAGCATTTCTTCATTTCTCAATCCATATGGGCTGCACAGATAATGAGCATCTAAGTGTACGAGTAGCTCTACGTTGTTCAAATACTGGAAAAAATCTGCATCATGGAGTTGCCAGGTGTTGTCCTTTCCACCAAAATTTTCCGCAGGACTGGTCGATTAATTCTCCACCGACTGCACTTACCAAGATCAAAGTCACTAAAAAGAATTTTTTTTAATCAAAGTTTTAAAATTGCAAATTCCAGGGTAGGAATTCCCAGAGGCTACAACCAAGAGCAAAGATTTTGTGAACATATCGATACAAGGAGGTCCTGAAACAGCCAGCAATAACGACACGAGCTTAGAAAACATTGTCACCAACTTACCATAATCTGTGGTCGGTAAGGGCTATCTTCTTCGCCGCTCTGCCGGAACTTGGGAAGCCACTGCTCACTAGCATCGTACTTCAATTTGCAGCAGAAGTATAACACGACAACCACTAGTGTCCAGTAGGACATGAACAAAAAGTAAAGGAGGGCACTGAGGGCCGCAACAACCACTAGGGTCCAGTGAGGCAGCTTCTCAGGTCTAACTGAAGGCATTGCCATGGATTGGAGCATGGCCAGCAAAACAAAGAGGACAATGCCCACAATGTAAACCCCTAGTACAGTTGGAAAATTCGCCTTAAGGATCTTGAAGCTTCTTTTCAGTGATGCAAGGCCATAAGTCTCAGGCTCCAGAACGGCCACTTGTTGAACCACTTAGAACAGACATCCCAAAGACATCGAAACAATGTATAATAACAGCAGCTTGAAGGACGAGAGCATTCCTGGGTTTATGGTATCCTTCAATATCAAAGATAGGAGGCTAAACCGTAGTGCCAAAACCGAGTAAGTCATGATTAAAATCAGCAGAAACCAAAGAGTGGTGACGAACTGTTTAAACAGAAGGGAAGGGACCGAAAGATGGATTTGATTATGGAAGGGTCTGCTTCATCGCCAGCATAGATGTACTCCACAGTTTTGGAAATGGAAGCCGTGGCAATGCTGACAAGCACCCAAGTTGATGTGGACACAGCGAAACTCACTATTAATATGTCCATCCATAGGGAAGGGTGTGGCGAAGCGTATTCATCCGGCCCAAAGGTTGCCTTCACATTCAGATAGCCTTCACACTTCAGAAACGTGCGACAGCCACATTCTTATTTGACACACTGTAGGAGGTTGCGGATAGATAGCGCTGCAAATTCAGCGTATAAGAAAGAGAGAGAGAGAGAGAGAGTGGTACCTTAGGGGAGGTGCCGCTTACAAAGAAGCCGAAATGCTGGTGGTGGTGATGTGGGTGAGGCATCCACCTGTGAATGGCCGAACCGCCAAATTGGTGAAGAACCCAATGTGAAGAGATCCTCGAGATTGCGATCACCTCCACAACATGAAGCAGTGCGACAGGTAAAAGGAATGTGAAGATGAAAGGATGCAACAGACGGATGTAGTTGCTCAGAAGTCTCCCTGCCTCCTTCAGAATGGTTAGGACGCCACATCCTGCTAAGTTGATAGGATAACTCTCTACCATCTTGACAGTCGACGTGATCGACTTCCACGAGGATCTGTCTCAACCTCAATTGAATGCTCTAATCAAATGATGCACTACACTCGATTAGAAGCTCTCGCTCAGCTAGTTTTTTGTAGTAGACGATCTTATTGATCAGACCGCAAACCCTCACAAGTTACATGCCTCTGATATCTCTTTGCAGAACTCCATTGTGTTCACATCCACCTAAATTGAGAGCAGCGGAATTAGTAAGATTCTTTTCTCTGCGGCCAACGTCCCTAACACAATAACCTCTAATTTGTTAGGCTTTTTCATTTGTCCACACGATGCCCAGGAAATCTGGAGAAGGCCTTGCAAATCACTTATTGATTATGCATCCCGGTCCGAACTTCCTTGCGAGCTTCCTTCCTGATTTACTCATAAGTCCTTCAACATGGGGACTCAAAGTCTATCTGCATTCGCCCAGTGCCATTTGTCGAAGCCAACATAAGATTACAAGTGTCCTTTTGAATCAGGTCTGCGAAGTATTTAATTCATGTCATAAACTTGTACAAAACTTGAGTGCTCGACAGTAAGACTGTGAGACTATCGGCCATCACCAAGACCCTCGAGTACTATTTTTTCTTTTTTAACATCCAATCAAAAAGCTGATCCAGCGAAGAGAGAACATACATCGAAACATCCTCCTTGATGGCGAAATTGCAAGACGTGACCATCCCATGCGGCATTCATTTTTCATGAGAGTCTGTAATATGAATTCAAGTTATACATTATGAGCAAGATCTCAGGTAGCATTGAGGAAATACACCCTACATATTGCAAATTCTGAACGTAAATCAGTTGAAGAATCTTGTAAATACTCACTGGGGTGATGCTAATATTACAAGCTGAGATTCAGTCTTTCGGGAAAGACCGCACTGTGGTTGTATCATTAACTAAAAGTGATGGAGAAGTTGATGCTTCCAAACGGTCATGAGATAGTGATGCGCGACACATTTGGGAAGACATCTGTGACAATTATCAGGCAGAGTACTTGATGAAAGCAAGAGAGGTGAACTTAACATGTTTTGCCTTGACCACCGTCCCACTGCAGATTCTTAAAACAAACCTTACTCACATTTCATAATAAACCGAAAATTCTTCTGCTATTGAGTGAATATCGAACTATTCTTGCCATCAGTCGGACTTGATAAATTCCTGTAGACATACGTGCACTCCACCTGTCTCAGATCAGCATGAAACATGTTTTTCAGTGTTTCAAGATTTCATGGCAGCCCCCTGCTTAATTGCTGACTACAGAAATATCTACACCAATATCACCCGCTGAGGTGAACCGATGTAAGAGCGCGTTTGAGTTGTGAGGAGAAGGCGAGGGCTTAACGCGAAGGAAATAGCATATAGGTGCCAGACAAAGTTGATCGCAATGCTGGACTGGGCGTATCAAATGTCCATCGCAAAAACTTGACTTCTTGCAAAGCTCCGACTAATCACATAGGCATGGATCACACCGATTAAGAAACAGTGCAAACATGCTACCGAAATGAATGAAATCCTAGTTAACAAGACCGGGTTCAGCACTACAGAAATGCATCCATTTGGAATGTGAAGCCTCGGAAACAGATTCGAGGACATGAAAATTTCGATTCATTATCTCATTCGAAGAAATCCTGCACAAGTCGATCTTTAATTCTTCCATGCGACAGGACGAGAACAATCCGACTTGAGGTTGCCACGGGACCCAACTCGTCTCTTATCGCTCCCAATGGAAAGAAACGTGGTTAGTTTCGCTCTGCAGTTGCTTGAATTCGGACAAACGTTATTTTGGGTCCGTGGCGCATGAGATTGCTGTTGCGGGTGAGCTTCGATTGTCTCATTCAGGTCGCAAAATTGACGCAAAATTAGCGCAAAACTGGGTGTCGCACTGATGGTCGCGGTAGAAGGGCCCTCGTCGCACAGGAGGAGGGGACTGTAAGTGGGCCAAGAGTGGGAAAGGAGTTTCTAAGCTGTTTCTCCTCAAGTGAAATCCAAACCCCCGGTTATGGGTCAACTTATGGATGAATGAAAAGTAACACATCCATGAATGAGTGGATGGCAGTCGTCCTTCCTTCCTTTTCTGTTCTTTATTCTAGTTGTCTTTCGAGATTTGTCAATGGACATACTTATTAACGCTTGTTAAATTTAAAACCAACAACAATAATTTAACCTTTATCTATTTATTTATTTATTTATTTTCATTATAAGATTTTACTTGTAAGAGCATTTATACAATCATATTAGTTTTTTGTAAAATCTACATAATAATACAATTTGTTCATGAAAGACTAGCAATTTTTAGCAATCTAATATTCAAATTTCTTAAAATACTACTTATGGTTGTATGGATCTAATTTATATTAAGACTGATGTTCAATGTAAAGATTCTAACTATTATTACTCCCAATTCTAGATTTTATTGGCTTCTATGATTACTTCAAAATTACTCATAAAATAGTACAATACGGTTATATCAAATTTGTTATCAACATTACAGACACTTTTAGATGAACACCACTATTTTACATGAAAATAAAAATTTGAAAATAACCTGTAGGAACATCATTCAATTTTTCAAATTTCAATATTTCGTTACTTAGAGGATTAAATAATATCACATCATACATCAAAATATCTATTCTGTATAATACACGGTTCTTTCCCTTGCTTATATAAATTAGAGAGTACTATTATTGTTCTGGTTGTTTGTTGCAATACAATTTTACATAATTATGTATTCTAAAAACTATAACTAACTAAATAAATAAGCATACAACATTCAGTTCATCCGAATCAATTAAAGGTATTTTAATTATTATTAATATGTTATTCAGAACTATTTTTCCCACTCTTAGAATTTATTTCATTTGTATTGATTGCCAATTTAAAAAATGTACTTGTATGATATATCATAATAAGTCTGTAAAGAGCAAAGAAATTATCACTAGATTTGTGGTATTGTGTCAATGTTATTGTTTATAGTTTTTGTACAGCATTATTTCACACTATGATTGTTTTAAAAATGAATCAAAAGCAGAAACACCAAAGGTAACCACACCAAACCAACTCAAATGTCAGAACTCATGAATCCATTATTTGTTTGAAGTTTGTCCTCTAAAAAGCATAAGGGTTCAATTCGAATCCTTCATGAATGAATGAAAAATGAGCTATAGATGAATGTGGTGGATGGTGAAGCAAGTGGCCACGTCATGATCTCTCTGTCGCCAGGTATGCAAGAGGCTCCAGCTGGGCACAGCGTTCCAGCTCATCTACAGCACAGCGCGAATCATTGGAAGAATAAGTAGAAGAAGAGGAGGAGAGTGAGAAGAAGCGAAGGTTGCTTTGCGAAGCAGCTCCGACGACGGAACATGAGAACCAAAATGGAATCGCCGATTGTAATGGAATTACGATACTGAAGAAGCATCGAAAGCGGAAACAAAGAGATTAAAATTCAACAAAATGCTCATGCGGGCATCTGTAGAGCGTGGAGTTTTTTAACTTTGTGGTAGAGATAACTCAGAAACGAAGTCCTTATCCTGGAATAAGTTGACAATGTCAGACAGAGCATGGTGATGCGGCCAGAAGCGTGACGAGTCCTTGTCATGGCGGGCCATGGCTGCGTAAAGCTGGGGAATCCAAGCGGTACACGGTCGATAGTTATTGTCAAAACGTTGCAAGAGCAGACAAAACTTCTTCGCTGAAGCTACGGCAACAGTGGAATTTGAGACGAGTCAATTGGTGGTTAGCGGTGGAGGTGGCCTACACAATGCCCCCCCCATGTTCATGACAGTTTTGTGCTGCGAATAGCAGGTCAACCTCGAGAAGTTACTCCTTGTTTGTAGAGTAATCTTTCTGACAGTGCAGCAGAGAGGCTCGTTCTCTAGTGATAGATGCTGTAGTTGAAACCGTTCACAATCGTCTTCCAACAGCTTGTACAGATACAGTCTTCGCACAGTAAAGATGGTTATCGATTCACGTGAGTTTGAGACTGTGATGTTTTGAGCTGCGTACGATTAGATTGGAGAGATGTTTATTTTTGTGCAAGTCATTGGCAGTGTTGGTTAAATTTGGTCCTTTCGAGAGGATTGTTCACTTTCGAGAGGATTGTCCTTTCGAGATGGTCACTCTGATCTATTACTATTGTTATGTGATATAATTGCAAGACAGTGCTAGAGTGAAATTAAATGTGAAGGTGATTGTATCAATTCTATGTGATGGTTGACTGGGCAGGACTTTTGCCTCAGTGACGAAGAAACGCTCAATCTTTCGATTGTATCTGCACAAGTTCCCTGTTTAAATAGGATAAAGTAGATTTTAAGTTGGACTATGCGTGGTTGAATGCATCTCCACAGGAAGACAGGAGGAAGGTGGTTCGTACACCTGTGCATGTTACCAATACACAGGGCTCTGTCAGTCTGCACATATTGTCGATTGCACACAGAGGATTAACAAAAGGCAGTTTGTCCTCAAGGAAAGCTGCTGGAGTGTACAAGATCTCGTCGTCTCGCGTAGCAACCTGAAGTTGGGTACCGATGGGCGGCACTATTCTGTTTCACGAAACACGCAAGTGAGGATCAATAGAAGTTTTTGTACAGCGATGACACTCAAGTACAGAAGTTGGAGTGTCATAGAGATAGCACGTGCATGTGCCACCAAAAGGAAATTGAGTGCACGGAGATGGAGGAAACAGGAGGATTGTCAGAGTGATTGTTTTGTCCCAATATAAATATGATGCAAGTACTGACATTTTCTTCTTTATTTTTCTTCGATCTCCTCTCACTACTTTTGATCGAAGAAAGACCAGCGTAGGACCTTCGTTTTTGAGGGAGCAAGCGGCCGCAAAGTTGCGATTTAGCTTGGACGTGTTCAGCACGTTACAAATCTGATGTTGGAAGTTGTTGTTGTGGTTCCCCACTGACTGTCAGTCTAAAACGTGGTGATAGCGAGCACTGTTCCCCTACTTGGTGAATAATCCATCTCCTTCCAGCAGAGACTTAATTGAACGGTGAGGTCAATCAGTTGCGCAACGTAAGTTTATCTAGAAATGATATTCATTTGCTTCAAAGCAAGAAAGCAATCGCATCGAACTCTTTATCAGCAGCTTCATTCTGCTACGGCATAGTGAGCCTACCTAGAAATCTTCTTGTCGTAGTTGTCATGCATCGCGTTTCAGTGGTTGAATGGAAGGGAAATGGGCACAGAGGCATAGTAAGTTACGGCACGGTGACTTCCTTTTCAAAACATTACAAGCACGAAGCGACTGCGATGTCGCACTCATTCTGGAAGAAGCGACGCTCTATTTGGCTGTCTATTTGCATCTTATTTACCGTCTTCGTCCTCTGTGTCTCTGTCCTTCCCGCTCCTATGGATGTTTCGGAAAATTTAGAAACTGGACCTCTGGAGTTGCTAAGAAAGGGATTGCCGATTGAGAAGAAAAGTTATGTGTTACATGAGAGAATGGATGGATTGGAGAAGAGCAGGAAAGAGTGGCAGCTCAAACCTGATCATTTCACCTTTTATAATACTTTGAGTAAGTATTTCTGACCTGCTTGCATCCTGTCTTGGTTTAAAAGTTTGATTCGATTACAAAGAACCCAGTAATTGTGCAACCTTTCTTCTGTTCTGAAAACTTTGTCTTAGAAGGCAGATATGGCTCTCTCAGTCCGCATGTGCACCTTGAAGTCCTTCTCAGATCCTCTCCAGGTCACGGACATTGAGTTTAATGCCTATTGTTCATTGGCGGTTTGCTTAATCTCGATTTTTCAAGTTCCCGTCGAAAGTCGACAACTAAACGTGCCACATAGAGATTCCTAACTTGCATAACTAACGAAGGCGAGTTTGCATCCTCATTTGCTGGACTCTTGATCGGGTTTTTATGTTTTGAAAATTCGCCAGTTACCGAATTCTGGGCAGCATTAATCCAAGAAGCCTCAGTGAATCTAATATTGTGATTGTGGACATAGTAATCTTCAGGAAATGTCCCTACCCCGTTCAATCCTTTGAACCTCACCAACGGAATTCGAGTTTATGTCTACGACTTGCCGCAAAAGTTCAACAAGGATTGGCTGGTTGATGAACGCTGTTCCAATCATTTGTTTGCTTCTGAAGTTGCCATTCACAAAATTCTTCTGAGCAGCCCTATCAAAACCTTGAATCCTTACGAGGCCGATTTTTTCTTCATGCCTGTATATTTCTCGTGTAAGTTTAGTTCGAAGACGGGCTTCCCTCGGCTCGGGCATGCGCCGAAACTCATGGAAGATGCTGTAAATCATGTGTCTTCTATGATGGAGTTCTGGAATCGCAGCGGTGGGAAGGATCATGTTTTCGTCGCTGCACATGACTTCGGTGCTTGCTTCCATTCTCTAGAGTCGGAGGCAATTGCACACGGAATACCAGAGATCGTGCAAAGCTCCTTGATCCTGCAAACCTTTGGAGTGCACGGCTTTCATCCTTGTCAAGCAGCAGAGAATATTCAGATTCCTCCATATATTTCGCCCTCAACAGTATTTTCGTATGTCAAAAAGCCCCCAGAGGAGCAAAGAAGGAACATATTTGCATTTTTCAGAGGGAAAATGGAGATTAACCCCAAGAACGTCAGTGGCCTGGTTTACAGCAGGTACGTATCTACATTTCTCAGTTCTTCTGTTGGATGTCAACCTTCCTAATCCTTGGTTCCTTTGACCTTCACAAGAGTTGCCCCCAGGATACTAAAGATTGCCACGTGATCCAGACCTTGTCACGAAACTCTAACATAGTTCTACATGTTTATTTTTAAAGAACCTTCTTCGTTGTAAGGTATGAGGAAAGGACTGAGAGACAATCCTTTCATCAGTCTATGTTAGTGCCATCACCGACCAGGGTTATACGTTTGTGGATTGAATGATTAATGGAAGGCCTTCATAGACCCTCTGATTCTGTGTGTCAGCTATTGCCCTTGTTAACTCTCTCTGACTGATGGTTGCATATTGGTTCAATCGATGAAGAGATGAGAATGGTGAGTATCCATTTGAATATGCTGGTTTGAAGTGATTGCACCTGTTTGCAGAGGCGTGAGGACATATATTTACAAGAAGTTCTCGCGGAACAGACGTTTTTTCTTAAAGCGACATCGAGCAGACAATTACCAACTGGACCTGCTTCGATCAACATTTTGCTTGTGTCCCTTGGGGTGGGCACCGTGGAGTCCTCGAATTGTTGAAGCTGTCGCGTATGGCTGCGTTCCTGTGATCATAGCAGACAACATCCGTCTGCCATATTCACACGCCATTGACTGGAGTAACATGTCGTTAAACATTCGTGAGCATGATGTACATAAACTTTACAAAATTCTTCTCAACGTGGCGGCAAAAAATTTATCCAGCATACAGAAGAACCTCTGGAAGGAAGAGAACCGGCGTGTGTTGCTTTTCATGGAACCACTAGCGAAAGGTGATGCTACATGGCACATGTTGGATCGCTTGTCGACGAAAGTTGACCGATCTTTTGTCAAGCACGAAAACTTCTGACCAAGATGTTAAGAATACGTTATCGAATCGGACACAAGCTACCTGTTGAGTGAAAGATTAAAGAGAGATCGACCTTTTTGAAATTTAAAAGGGCTGTGTTGTATTCTACACTCTTACAGCCCTGTTCGTCATGACTCACGAGGTCCAAGACGTGGATATAATCTGACTTTATCACGTCGTTACAACCACTTTGACAAGTTGAAAGCAGTGCTGAGAAAAATGACCCGATAATGCTTGCTGAAAAGGACCAAGCGAGTGCGAGACCAGGATGCGAAACAAGGAAGTGCGAAGAGAAATGGCGATTCTTCGGCAACGATCTGAGCCAGCAACCAGAGATGCATGCTCCCAAGCACAAGAAAACCTTCTTCCAATGCATCCTTAAATTTTGAAATGATCTATTCCCGAAAATGCCACAGCTTTCACGCCAATTGAACTAAAACCCGAAATTTCAGTTGACGTAGTATCAAAAATATATTAAATATTTCTGCAAGTGACATGCACAAGATTTCTAACGAAAATTTATTTAGAAAATAGATTTTTTTACTTAGATCACCTATTTACTCCATGTATAGTAACATTAATAAACAATATGTATTTTTTGGGACTCAAATTGTAATTCATTAGAATAGAAGTTTTTGATAATTTAATAAATAAATAAAATTATGATAAAAAATAGGTTGGGATTTAACTATAAAAATCTTCAAAAAGACCAAAACTAAATTAAAAAATTTAGTAGTTGTTACAACAAAGTATGATAAATTTCCAAATTATTTATGTAAATAAAAAAATAAAAAAATTAAAAATATTAGATAGAAAATATTCTATTTAAAAAATTACAAAAATCTTAAATACAAATAGGACTTTTGATTTTACAAATATTTCATATAGCTATTCAAACTTACTCTATAAATTTGATACTTTTAGGAAGTTATGTTACAATTAATTTACAACTTGACACTTTGGCCATAAGTATTTTGGTTTTAATGAATCTTCCACAAGATCTCTTTGGTAGCTAGGATATACAAAGACAAGAGTGACGCATTTTAAGTTACTAATTTGAATAAAATCTCCTATATAATTAAAATACTACCGAAATATTCTTCAAAATCAATCTTATAAATATCCTTTTTGTATTTTAGTCTTACTTTTTTATTCTCTAGTTTCTTAATTTTTAGCTATAGGTATTTTATTTTTTTTATCCTCTATTTATATATATATTTTATTTATTTTTATTTATTTTTTATAATAAAATATGAATCCATTGTATTTTTTTTTTTTTTTTTTTTTTTTTTTTTTTTTTTAAATTTTTTAGATTCATATCTTTAAGAACAAAGTATAATCTTTTTCATTCTTTACTTTTTAATATTTTTTATTTAATTATATATCTTTTTTTATATTATATAAGTATTATTATTATTAATATTATTTTTTATTAAAAAAACTTCTTGTTTATATTTATATTTATATTATAAAATAAATTATTATATTATTTTATGCTATTATATATAGAGAGTTGTTAAAGCCACAATTCAATTTTGTTAAAGCTACATCCTTTAGCCATGTTATAATTAATTCAATTTAACGTCATTCCAATCTATATGATATGCTCATGACTATGGTTCAATGCAGATGAGATAAATCATCATATTTTAAAATGTATCCAGTCATTTAGCTTAGTAACTATGAGTGCAAAAGTAGTTCCATCCTTTGTGCCTAAGACTCACTTCTACTTGAAATTCTCTTAATAAATACGGAGGATAATCTTGTACTTTGTGTCCAAGACTTTCTTCAAAAAGCATAAGAAGAATAAACATACACTAGTATCAAGTTTGTCATCCGATGTATGAAAATTGATGTTTCTTGTCTTCCTCTCTTTTTCTCAAATGATTGAAGTTTATTGCTTCTTCCTTTAGGGCTTTATTTGTTTAGAGTTGTATTGCTTGAATTTCTTAGGGTAGAGGTGTGTACCTTGGATCCATTAAAGATTGAAAATTGAATGATTAAGGTTGTGAAGGAACCTTAGGAGGTATAGAGATGATTTTTTTGTAGGACATTTTTGATTTGGTACCCAAGCAATGCATTCTAAGCATTAATAATATTACTAAGTATTGATATGACTTTTTCAAGATTTGCAAGCTTAATATGTTTTTATATTCTAAAGTTTATTAGAGATGTTTTTATTTTTTTCACCTTATTTCATCAATGACATGAGCCAGACCTTGTAGCTTGGAATCTAGTAGTAGAATTATTAGAGTAGAATATTATAGCAAAATTATAAGTAAGAAGTTTAGATATATTATCATATTGATAATTCAAATATATTTGAGGCTTAATAATCCCATCATTTATAAAAATATCCTTTAAACTAATACAATGAAGAAACTCAATAACAATCTTCATAGTTATATTAGCTAGGATAATGGAAGGTAAATTAGCTTCTATATAAGTATTTTTTTGAGTATATTATAAATATAGTTTTTTTCACCTTGTTCATGGTTGCAACATTCTTATTCCATCTCTTGATCACATAATCTATAGAATAGATATTTTTCATTAAGTTATAGTAGTATATAATAGATAAGTTAGACAAAACTTACAAGGTTACAAAATAAACACCTCCAAGTCTTAATGAGTGTAATGAGGTTGCTTTGATCTATTTTGAATTTGAAAGATTGTCTTCTGTTTAGACTTTCTAAGATAGTTGGCTCAATGCTACTACAAGACCTTGTATAGATCATCACAAGTACATTACTAATGATTACAGAGATTGTATTACTTTGGACAAAGTTTCTATCTATCTTTACTAAAGATTAAATAATTACATATATTTATACTATAAAGAAAATAAAAAAGGTTTGAGTATTGCTTCATGATTTTTTTTATTCATTATGTTAACAAATTTTATAAGATTATAATTGGAGCAAATTTAATTGATATGATAATAAATTGAGTGACTCAATCAATATATAAGTGGATACCAATAACTCTATCATACATAGTTACTTATAAGTTCCGATATACTTTTCATTTGATTTTTTTTGGATCATGAGTTACTTTTTAAAATTAAACTTAGTTAAAAAAAATTCTCATCATAATTATTGCTATTATCTTCTTCTTCTTCTTTTATATTTTTTATTGATTTGTTTTGTTTTATTTTTTATTTTTTTAATTTAAATTGTATTATGTTACTTTGTAACTATAAAGTTTTTTTTTTACAAGATCCAACTTTTTTTTTTGCCTTCTTTGTCCTAAAATTTTCATGGACACAGAAATAGAGACTCAAGATCTAACAAGAAGTTCAAGAAGAACTAGCAAGAACTAGATTAATCAGATGAGAACAACACCAGAGAGGTGAACTAGAGCTCCAAGAGATATGTTGTCGAGACAGAAGAACTCTTCAGCCTCGATTCCAATATATACTTCTATTTAGGAAGCTTTTCAAGCAACTTCTATCAACTAGGAAGCTTCTAGAAGGTTCCAGAGACTTGTTTCTAGAAGGTTCTAGAAACTTATCTCTAGAAGGTTCTAATGACTATATCCCTAATGTCTTCTACCAACTAAGAAGCTTCTAGAAGGTTCTAAAGACTTGCTTCTAGAAGATTCTAGAAACTTGTCTCTAGAAGGTTCTAAGGATTATGTCCCTAACATCACCCCCTCCTTTAGCTTCGAGGTCTGTGAGAAGTAATATTGTTGATCAGTACCAACACAAGAAAATGAAGATCTGTCGTATAACGTCTGCTATGAACTCCAACTGTTGTTCACAAGGCAAGAGGTTTATCGACCCTTAAAGCCAATGGTAGTGGCCTACTTCTTCAACTTCTGACCAAGCATGAACTTTCGTGTCCTCATTATGAAATTTTCCTACAAACACGCCTTCTGGCTGACCATCGTAAGTAGGCACGGACTCAAATACAATCACCAGTGATTGGTTACTCGGTATCCTCTGTTATCGTCATGGTGTAAGTAGTTCTTCATCTCGGGGTCGCCTTCGTGAGCTAGTCGGTTGAGATAATCTGACTGGCATAGTATCTATCTTTTGGCTATCCATATCAAAAGACCAAACTATGGCTACTGAAAAAATTCTATTTTATCTTGAAGAAAATAACTACATCAACTACGAATTTTGGTGGAACTCTCCCCCTTTCTTATATTCTTGGGTGAGCAAGCTTCAGAAGGAAGCTATCGTCAAATTGGCTTAGGTTTATGAGGATGTTGTTGATGAAACTCTTGTACCTTTTGTGGCGCATTGGTGAGATTTTCAGTTGGCTCCTACGTTCGCTCATTAATGTCGTAGCCGCACCAATGAACAAGATACTCTAACTTGTCCCACCTTCGCCGTGAATCTAGTACCTTTTCAACCTCGTATTCCTCCTATTTCTCGATCTCAATACTAGGTGGCGGACATTGTACTCTTCCACGTAAAGACGACTCTCGATAAGACTCTAACAGAGAAACATGAAAGACTGGATGTACCTTCATAAAAGCCAATAATTCCAGACGGGATGCCACTAGATTGATTTGCTTCTAGATGATAAATGGTCCCAATCTTCGATAGTCCAACTTATCACATGGTCGCTTGGTCTTGATATTCCATCGAAGAAGCCATGCTTTATCTCCAATTTTGAAAGTAGGTGCTTGATTTTGAAATCTATCTGCAGACGCCTTGTAGGAATCTTAAGCGGATTGTAATTGAAGCTTCAACATATTTTGAAGCTCTGATAGTTGTTTCGTAAATCCTTCAGCTGCTGGATTGTTATTTATTGACGGACTCAATAAATCAAGCTTCGGATGATACCCATAGTTGGAAAAGAATGGTGTGTATTGAGTCGACGCATGGAGGGTGTTGTTATATGCAAACTTGGCTAGTGGCAGATATGTGGTCCAATTGTCTTGCTGATAATTGATGCTGCATCGTAAGTATTGTTCCAAGATTTGGTTCATCCGTTCCATTTGGCCGTTAGTTTGAGGATGAAAAGCCGAAGAAAGCTTGATATCCACCTTCAGTATCTCAAAGAGAGATCTCCAAAACTTTGATACGAACTGGGTTCCTCGATCTGATACGATATCATCTGATAGTCCATGATATCGATACACATTATCGAGAAAGAGCCTTGCTGTGACTTCACTGGATGATGTCTTCTTGCAAGGAACAAAATGTGCCATCTTTGTAAGCTGATCTACCATGATAAAGATGCTGTCAAATGAGTTCGATGATGGCAGGTCCGTGATGAAGTCCATGGAAACTGAAGACCATGGTCGACGTAGAATCGACAATGGCTATAGAAGTCCATAAGGGTGATGCCGAGGATTTTTGGATCTTGAACAGATGTCGCAGGAGAGGACAAAATCTTTGACATCCTTCTACATTTGGAGCCACCAAAAATCTCAAGAAATATGCTCCAAGGTCTTGTTGAATTCAAAATGTCTCGTAGCTGGAAAATCGTGGCGAGATTGAAGAACTCGGAGTCGTGCTGGTCCTTTTGGGATATATAATTACTCCTCAAAGTATAAAAGATCTCCCTCTACCTTGAACTTATCGTCATTGGTATACTGTTTAATATCAATGGCTATTGAATCTTCAATGGTCACGGCACGTATCTGATTCAAGAAGTCAGCATCAATTAGTATAATAGT